AATAAATTGCCAAGGGAGGTGGTGGAATCTCCCTCTCTGGAGATATTTAAGAACAGGTTAGATAGACATCTGTCAGGGATGGTGTAGACGGAGCTTGATCCTGCCTTGAGGGCGGGGGGCTGGACTCGATGACCTCTTGAGGTCCCTTCCAGTCCTATGATTCTATGATTCATCAACGATTTAGATATTGGCATAGAGAGGACGCTTCTTAAGTTTGCACATGATACCAAACTCGGCGGGGTTGCAAGTGCTTTGGAGGATCATAATTCAAAATGACCTAGACAAACTGGAGAAATGGTCTGAGGTAAACAGGATGAAGTTGAATAAGGACAAATGGAAAGTACTCGACTGAGGAAGGACTAATCCGTTTCACACACACAGAATGGGAAGTGACTGTCTAGGAAGGAGTCCTGCAGAAAGAGATCTAGGGGTCAGAGTGGACCAGAAGCTAAGTAGAAGTCAACAGTGTAACTCTGTTGCAAAGAACGCAAACATGATTCTGGGATGCATTAACAAGAATGTTATAAGCAAGACACGAGAAGTCATTCTTCTACTCTACTCTGTGCTGATTCGGCCTGACCTGAAGTATTGTGTGTAGTTCTGGGCACCACATTTCAAGAAAACTGTGGAGAAACTGGAGACTATCCAGAGAACAACAACAAAAAAGATAAGGTGTAGAAAACATGAGCTATGTGTGATGAGTGAAAGTATTGGGTTTGTTCAGTTGAGTCATCAATTTTAAAAGTGATCTGAGTGAGTTTGCTCAGTGAAAATATTTGCAAGTCCTTTGCTTTTCTTGCTCCAATATTTTCACCCTCCCTCTCTTCCGGGAAAACTTATCTTGTTTGTTTTCGAGCCGCCAATACACAAGGGCTGAAGGATTTTGTCCCAAGAGCACTGTTGGACGAAAGCTAATTTTCCATGCTGGCTGTTGACAAGAGTGTTTCATAGGGTGGGACTCTGATAAAAGGACATCTCTCTTGCACAGCCGTCAAGTTTTTCAGAGGAACTGGATGCTCGGAAATTTTCCTCTCCGCAACCTTTGTCCACAGTCTGGGTCACAAGAGCTGAGCACCAGGAAGAATCCAAATGAGGCTTCCGTGATTTGAAACCCACGGGCTGATAATGATCCTCTCTTTTATCGCCAGGTAAAAACTCAGAATGTGCCCAGAGTCTGAACTCTTTCCTCTTTACTTACATTTTTCTTTGTTTTCAATCTCTCAAGAGGAACTGGATGCTCGGAAATTTTCCTCTCCGCAACCTTTGTCCACAGTCTGGGTCACAAGAGCTGAGCACCAGGAAGAATCCAAATGAGGCTTCCGTGATTTGAAACCCACGGGCTGATAATGATCCTCTCTTTTATCGCCAGGTAAAAACTCAGAATGTGCCCAGAGTCTGAACTCTTTCCTCTTTACTTATGTTTTTCTCTCCATTTTCAATCTCCCGATTTTCTCTCTTTTGGTCAAGTAGCTGGTACCTAGCACAAAGGCAGCAGTAATTTCATCTCGGAAGCAACAATGATGCATAAGATGCTAGAATCCTTTGGAGCAACCAGAATGGGAGATAGAGGGGAAAGCGAGAAGACATGTTGCTGTCCCCTGGATCATCTTCCAACTAGCAGTCTTGTGACATAATTTTCTGTGTGGTTTAAGTAGTAAGACACTATGTTGTAGAGCGCAAGTTTTGGGGCTAAATCCTGTGATGACACAGAAGGCGAATTATTGCATTTCTATTGCACAGAAGAACAGAATAGAAGAATGTAAGAACAGGCAGACTGGATCAGACCAAAGATCCATCCAGCTCAATGTCCTGTCTGCTGACAGTGGCCGATGATAGATGCTCCTGAGGCAGGGGACACAACAGGACATCCTCACATGATCCCTCCCTTGTCACCCACCTCCGGGCAAACAGAGGCTAGGGACACCATTCCTATCTAACCTGGCTAATAGCTATTGATGGACCTAACTTCCATGACTGTCTAGCTCTTTTTTGAACCCTGTTAATGTCCTAGCCATCACCACCTCCTGTGGCAAGGAGTTCCACAGGTTGACTGTGCATTGAGTGAAGAAAAACATCCTTTTGTTTGTTTTAAACCTGATGCCAATTCATTTCATTTGGTGACCCCCTATTTCTTATATGGTGGGGAAAGGAAATAACTTTTCCTTATTCACTTTTTCCACACCAGTCATGATTTTATAGACCTCTCTTATATCCCCCCTTAGTTTCCTCTTTTCTAAGCTGAAAAGTCCAAATCTTTTTATTCTCTCTTCATAGGGCACCCGTTCCAAACCCCTAATCATTTTTGTTTCTCTCTTCTGAATCTTTTCCAGCGCCAATATACCTTTTCTGAGATGAGGCGACCGCTTCTGTACCCAGTATTCAAGAGGTGGGCATCCCAGGGGTTTATACAGAGGCAAAAAGATATTCTCTGTCTTATTCTCAACCTCTTTTTAATGACTCCTAATAGTCTGTTTTCCGTTTTGACTGCTGGTGCAAATTGAGTGGATGTTCTCAGAGAACTATCCACAATGACTCCGGATCTTTCTCTTGAGTAGTTGTAGCTAAATTTGTTCCCATCAAATTGTATGTACCATTGGGATTATTTTTTCCAATGTGCATTCCTCTACATTCATCAACATTACATTTCATTTGTCATTTTGTTGCCAAATCACTTAGTTTGGGGAGATTTTCTGAAGCTCTTCACAGTCTGCTTTGGTCTCATTTATCTTGAGCAGCTTGGTATCATCTTCAAATTTTGCCTCCTTTCTTTTTACCCTTTTCTCTAGATCACTTATAAATAAGTTGAATAGGATGGGTCCAAGGACAGAACCTCTATTTACCTCTCTCCACTCTGAAAACTGACCATTTATTCCTACCCTTTGTTTCCTGTCTTTAAACCAGTTCTCAGTCCATGAAAGGATCTTCCCTCTTATCCCATGACAACTGACTTTGCTTAAGAAGCTTTGGTGAGGGACTTTGTCAAAAGCTTTCTGAGAATCTAAGTCCACTAGATTGTTCACATGTTTGTTGATCCCTGCAAAGAACTCTCATAGATTAGTAAGACATGATTTCACTTTAGAGAAACCATGTTGACTTTCCCCCAGCCAATTATGTTCATCCATGTGTCTGACAATTGTGTTCAACATCACTGAAGTTGCGAAGTCAAACATAACACTCGGCAGGTGGGAAACGCCCGGGGGGACAGTTCCTACCCAACCTTAATTCCATCCCTGTAGACCTTGCATTAGGCCAAGTCCTGTTGATGCTCGATTCCTCGGCTGTTTCTTTCCACGACTGAGCTGTCTTCTTTGGGGCACTGGATGGAGGAGCAAGGGACGTATTGATGGCTGCCTGGGCAACAGTGTATCATCCGGCCAGACTCGGCAGCTCAAACGTGCTTCCAGTTTCAGGGCTGAGGACACATTGGCTGGGGATGGGGAGATGGCTCGGGGTCCACTAGAAGGTTCCGGGTTTTAGGTGGACATTTGCCCCCACTCGAAATCCCTTTGCCAGCTCACCGGCGGCCTCATTTCTTTGGCAAGTCTATTGTCCTGTGTGGATTTAAACAAAAATGTGCTTTGTCCTGCAACTGAACCAGATAGCTCAAGGGAACACGGCCTCTCTCATGGAATGTGCATATCCCTTTTAGTCTCTGTTTACCCTGTCGTTACTAGTGTTCTCCAGGTGTCTAGGGAAAAGACGCCCCCTCAGTTAATGAAAGTGTCTCCAAATGGGTGCCTTAGAGAAACCAGACAGATGTGAAGGGATATTTGCAATTGCGTGGGGGAGGAAATAACGACCCATGGAAATGTATTTTCATCTCATTGAAAACAGTGGGCTTGACTGATTGAGAACAGACCTGCTTAGAGATGCATTTTCTCCATCAGTCAGGTCAACTGAGACCCATAACGGAAAGTCTATCAGCCACTGGGAAAGCAGAACATGAGGGGAAATTGAGCTTGGGAAAGGATTCTACCCCGCTCCCTAACAAAAGGAGTTTCTTTATCGCATGCCCTGTGAAAGCAAAGAGGGTTGGAAATGGAGCTTGGGTTAGAACACGGCCAGCGTTCCTATGAGATAAGGACCAAGACCCCTGCTCTTCACTGTCTACATGGGATAGCAAAACGTCCGTGCTTTCTGAATTCTGCGCAGAATGGTAGGAATCTTTCATAAATAGTCTTCTTGTGAATAATGCTATGTAGGCCTGTTATTAGAAAATATTGACTCATTATGGAAGGATCTATCTATCTATCCCCACCCCCCTCTCCCTATCCGCATCCAACCCATCTATCTATCTATCTATCCCCACCCCCCTCTCTCTATCCGCATCCAACCCATCCATCCATCCATCTATTCCCATACAACCCCTCTATCTAGCTAGCTAGCTATCTTCCATAAACCCATATGAATTGGAATTAATTGTGCTATCCTCCTTCACTTATTAATTAATCAAATCTTGTATCAGCTGTTCCATGCCTAGAAACAATGTCAGCCTGAAAAAACCCCAAACTACATGAGGGAGGTTCCTTTCCTTCTTCTGGGACTTCTGGAGTGTTAGAAAAGTTAAGGAAGATCCCTATTAAACTCCCAGCGAGCTCCGTAACCAGCTCTTTCCATTTGCAATGTAACACTATCGAAAGAATCGAAAAATCAGAGAGAGGAAAACCCGCCTGCTCCTAAGGCCAAGAGGTGGAAGTTGTCCTACCCTTTTCTAACCTAACTCTTTTATACACAGGACCTATCGTTCTCCTATACATTGCAACCGAGTCCCCCAGGCTATGTCTAGACTGCATCCCTCTGTTGATGGAGGGATGCAAATCAAGCACATCGAAATTGCTAATGAAGCACAGATTTAAATATCCCGCATTTCATTAGCATAAACATGACCGCTGCTCTTTTTTTTTAAACGGAGTTTTTTTGAAAAAAAAAAACCAGGAGTCTAGACACGGATCTATCAACAGTAAACCCTTTTTCGACAGATCCTGTATTCCCCTGCAGCGATGGAGAACCAGACGGAGGTGAGCGAGTTCATCCTACTGAGTCTGACTAGTCTCCAGGAGCTTTGGGGTTTCCTCTTCACTCTCTTCCTGCTGCTCTACCTGGCCAGCGTACTGGGGAACGGCACCATCCTAGTCTTGGTGATGGCCGATCCTCATCTCCACACCCCCATGTACTTCTTCCTGGGCAACCTCTCCTGTCTGGACATCTTCTACTCCACCGTCACCGTGCCCAAGTTGCTGGCTGGTTTCCTCTCCAGGCACCAGGCCATCTCCTTCACCGGCTGCCTGTCCCAACTCCACTTCTTCCACTTCCTGGGCAGCAGCGAAGCTGTCCTCCTGGCCGTCATGGCCTACGACCGCTACGTGGCCATCTGCAACCCGCTGCGCTACAGGCTGGTCATGAACCCGCACGCCTGTCTGCTCCTGGCCACGGCCACCTGGTCCAGTGGTTTCCTGCATGCCCTGATGCACACGGTCATGACCTCCCGGCTGCACTTCTGTGGTCCCAACCATGTCCCCCACTTCTTCTGTGACATCAAACCTCTCCTCAGCTTGGCCTGCGGCAACACCCACCTCAACCTGAGCCTCAAACTGATCCTTGTGAATGTGGATGCCGCGGTCCTCGGTCTGAGCTCCTTCATCCTCACGCTCCTCTCCTACCTCTACATCATCTCCTTCCTCCTTCTGAAGGTTCAGTCGCGGGACAGCAGGGTGAAGGCCTTTTCCACCTGCTCCTCCCACCTCACGGTGGTGACTTTATTCTACGTGCCGGTGATCTGCAACTATGTGCTCCCCTCTCCGGAGGACAACCCGGAGCGGGACATGGTAGCCACCCTCATGTACAACATTGTCACCTCCGTCCTGAACCCCCTGATCTACACCCTGAGGAACCGGGAGGTCAAAACTGCCCTGAGGAAAATGCTAGGGAGAAAACTGTTTCCTGGAAGGTCGTGAATTGGCTGAAGGTTGTTTCTCTGTCTGTAGGGTTGAGAAAAATAATGGGGAATGGAAAATGCAATCTGCTGTTTATCATTGAGTCGGGTGTGTACTGGAAGCAGGGATTAGTATGTGAGGAAACACTTTTCATTAGGCACAGGGAAATAGGTTGTAGATAAGGTTCCTGAACGGGAGATTAAGAATTTAAGAATGGCCAGCCTGGGTCAGACCAACGGTCCATCTAGCCCAGTATCCTGTCTGCTGACAGTGACCAATGCCAGATACCCTAGAGGCAGGGAACATAACAGGGAATCCTCACGTGATCCCTATCCTGTCACCCATCTCCAGACACAGAGGCTAGGGACACCAATCCTACTCATCCTGGCTAATAGCCATCGATGGACCTAACCTCTATGAATCTCCCTAACCTCTATGAATCTCTCTAGCTCTTTTTTGAACCCTGTTAAAGTTCTAGCTTTCACCACATCATCTGGCAAGGAGTTCCACAGTTTCGCTGTGCGCTGAGTGAATGAAAATCTTCCTTGTGTTTGTTTTAATCCTGCTCCCTCTTCATTTCCTTTGATGTGACGGTTAATCATAGGGGGCAGCTCAAAGACTCATTGACTTAAAGGGAAGAAGGGGGTGATTGTGGTCTACTGGCCTGACCTCCTGCATGTTGAAGGACACAAACCCATATTCACACATTTCTGTACTAGCTTTGTCATGTTTTAAAGACTTCAAGTCACAGAGAATTTATGCCATTACGCGGAGGGCAGTAGAAATCTGACAGTATGGTGTAAGAAGTGGGAATCCATTTTTAAAAGCCGGCTAGTGCGAACCCCGTGCCGCGCGGCTACACGCGGCACGGGCTAGATAGTTCGAACCATGTAGCCATTCCGAACTATCTGTACTCCGGCTTTATGCTAATGAAGCCCGGGAAATTCAAATCCCGGGCTTCATTAGCAAGTCCGGTATGCATACATTACCCCGCTAGTTCGAACTAGTGGGGTAGTGTAGACATACCCAAATTGGGGAAGGGGGTGACCCCTTCTGCCACCCAGCCCCTGGTAATCCCCCAGCTTATATCACATGGGGGGAAGAGGCAAGGGGTGGCACAGGGGCAGGACAGGGTGTTGTGGGGCAAAGAAGGGGTGGGGTTGGGGAAGAGGTTGAGTCAGGACAGGGTGGGGCCTGTGGGGTGGTTGTCTGGGGCCTGTGCTTAGGGCACTGGTGGAAGTTACCCGAGGCCCTGTGCCTCCAACAGAATGAGTATTATGCTGCGCAGCACCACGACCAGGCCAAGCTTGGCCACCACCCAGTTTGTCAGGATGGTGGAATGTCTCAGGGGATCACAGATGGCCACGTAGCGATCATAAGCCATGGCCACAAAAATCCCAGACCCCATCACTGTGAAGCAATGCATGAAGTACATCTGGGTGAGACAAGCTGTGAAATTTATCTCCCTGGAATTGAACCAGAAGATGCTCAGTATTTTGGGCAGGATGGATGTGGATAGGACAAGATCGGTGATGGCCAGCATGCAGAGGAAATAATACATGGGCTCATGGAGGCTCGGCTCTGTCTTCACGATGAACAGGATGGCGACGTTCCCCAAGAGGGCGATGGCGTACATGGCACAGAAGGGGATGGAGATCCAGACATGGGCTGTCTCCAGGCCAGGGATGCCCAGCAGGATGAAGGTGGAGGGGTTGGTGAAGTCACTTATGTTGGAATCTGACATGGGATAAGGCAGAAGTTTTGTACCTCTCAAGAATAACGATGTCTCCTCCATGTATTGTATGTTCCGCTGATTTTCTGCATGTGCCCAGGGTCTAGGGTGATGGTTGCAGTACAATTTCCTAGATGGAGAAACAATGTTAATATCAGACTCTAATCACAATAGAAGTCTGTTTTCATGGTTTAATCAGATCGGTCACTCTTCACAGATTGAAACATTTTCATTTTCATTATGAAGAAAAATGGATTATGTATAACTGACTCTGCTAATGTCAATGCCATCTTGGAAGGTATTCCATGCATCAATAATTACTGCTCCTCTGGGTCTGTTTAGTTCAGAGGCAAGTCAAAGAAGGGGATGTATAATAGTGGAGCATAAAATAAAATATTGGAACGTACTGTATTCAAACAGACAAACAGAGAACATTTCCCAAAGAGTAACATGTACAGACAGATACTGCTTCAAAATGTTTAATTCTTCAACCCTGAAGCAAAATTTCAGAGAAACTGATGGGGACTTTCAACATAGACAGAAAAATTAAATGTATTAAGAACAAAAGGTAACTGGCTCTATGGATACGGGAAAGTCAGTGGATATGATATACCTTGACTTTAGCAAGGCTTTTGATATGGTCTCCCACAATATTCTTGCCAGCAAGTTAAGGGAATATGGATTAGATAAATGGACTGTGAGATGGGTAGAAAGCTGGCTAGACTGTTGGGCCCAATGGGTAGTGATCAACGGCTCGATGTCAGGTTGGCAGTCGGTTTCTAGCAGAGTGCCTCAAGGATCAGTTCTATGGCCGGTTTTGTTCAACATATTTATTTGTAAACTGGATGAGGTGATGGATTGCATTTTCAGCAAGTTTGCAGATGACACTAAGCTAAGAGGAGAGGTAGATATGCTGGAGGGCAGGGATAGAGTCCAAAGTGACCTGGGCAGATTAGAGGATTGGGCCAAAAGAAATCTGACAGGTTCAACAAGGACAAGTGCAGAGTCCTGCATTTCAGACGGAAGAATCCCAAGCAGCGTTACAGGCTGGGGAGCGACTGGCTGAGTAGCAGTTCTGCAGAAAAGGCCCTGGGGGTTACAGTGGATGAGGAGCTAGATATGAGTCAACAGGGCGCCCTTGTAGCCAAGAAGGTGAATGGAATATTAGGTGCATTAGAAGCAGCATTGCCAGCAGGTCTAGAGAAGTGATTATTCCTCTTTATTTGGCTCTGGTGAGACCACATCTGGAGTACAGTTTTGGGGCTCCCACTACAGAAAGGGTGTGGCTGTATTGGAGAGGGTCTGGTGGAGGGCAGCCAAAATGATTGGGGGGCTGGAGCACATGACCTATGAGGAGAAGCTGAGGGATTTGGGCTTGTTCAGTCTGCAGAAGCGAGGGGGGATTTGAGAGCAGCCTTCAACTCCCTGCAGGGGGGTCCAAAGAGGCTGGAGAGAGGCTGTTCTCAGTGGGGGCAGAACGAGGAGCAATGGGCTCACGTTTCAGTGGGGGAGGTCTAGGTTGGAGTTTAGGACAAACGATTTCCCTGGGAGGCTGGGGAAGTTCTGGGATGGGTTCCCTAGGGAGGGGGTGGAATCTCCCACAGCATGAGTAGGAGTCGCTGGCTTTGAATGAGATCTAAGCGAGCTATGAACAATATTATCAACCAGCCCCGAGTGGCTGCTTTATGAGCCAGTTAAAAATGGTACCAGCCGTCACTCATTCTTTGGTCACAGACCTAGGCGGGGAGAGGGCAGGGAGTTCCAGGCACGCAGGTATTTCAATGCTGTGTTTTCCTCATGCAGGTCAATCGCATCCAGCAGCTCAGAGTTCCATCAGGTACGTTTCCTACCATGTCACCAAACATGATTCTGACCTGAGCACCAGCAATTGTGAACCTGGAGAGTATTTCTCCAGGGAGATCCAGATCTCTCTTTGTGCCGATTTTCTTTTTGGGGAATAAAATGGCATGATGCATGTTGATATCCTGTGCCATCAGATTCAGGAGGATGGGGTTGCCTTTGGTAAAAGTCCAAGGAGATTAGATAGAGGGGGTATGTGGGGATAGACAGACAGATAGATAGATAGAGGGGGTGTGTGGGGATAGACAGACAGATAGATGGGGGGTGGGGATAGATAGACAGATAGATGGGGGAGTGGGGATAGATTGATAGATTGATAGATATTTACTTTGTGTATTTCAGTGTGAGGTTGTTGATTTATATTTTAATGGTTGTAAATTGAATTGCTTGAATCTCAGCATCATCACAGAAATATTTTCTGTCACCCCATTGTAGGGCACCCTGCCAATAGCCTCATACCACCGCAAAAATTTAAATAATTTAAGGGCAATGAAAATGTTGCCATGGGGAATATTTACATTGATATTAAAATGTTTGAAAATGAACATTGTATACCTTCATGAGATAAAACCATGGGAATATTCGTACATCAAATTATAAGGATTCCGCTTGGTATAATGGGGGGCTATAATTTGAACCCCCCCAATAAATCACCTGTGGATGTAAATTGACCCACATTCAGAAAAAAAAATGTACAGAAGCACAGAACATAATTGAATCGGTTTCTCTAGCTCTAAATGAGGCTGAGTCCTTGGGAAGAACAAATAGTTTGGGGGAAATTGCAAGCCACGCTAAGACATAGCAGGAACATATACATCGACAAAATGCATCTGAAGAATGTTTCCTTGGGAATCATGTATCAGTCTGCCTTTCTCCTTGGTGCTGAATGGCCTTAAAGAAGAAGGAAATCCTTCCCACTAGTCCAAGAGTGACCAGAATTATTTCTGCAGAAGAACAAACAGGTATGTTATCTTCTTTTGTTCTTTTCTACCCTCACCCTGACTTTTATCTTCACATTTCCCTTAACAGAGCAGGAAATGCCCAACCAAAGCACCGTGACTGAGTTTCTTCTCCTGGGCTTCTCTGACGTGCGGGAGCTGCAGATTTTGCACTTTGTGGTGTTCTTGGTGATTTACGTGGCTGCCCTGGTGGGGAACCTTCTCATCATCTCAGCCATCGTCCTCGACCACCGTCTTCACACCCCCATGTACTTCTTACTGGGCAACTTGTCCATCCTGGACATCTGCTACATCTCCGTCGCAGTCCCCAAGTCCATGGCCAACTCCTGGAACAACACCCAGCGGATCTCTTTCCCCGGCTGCGTCGCCCAAGTCTACTTCGGCCTCTACTTTGCTTCTGCAGAGTTATGTCTCCTCATGGCCATGGCCTATGACCGCTACGTAGCCATCTGCCATCCTTTGCGGTATAGGCTTATCATGGCAGGAGGGGCTTGTGCCCAGATGGCCGCCGGTTCCTGGATTGCCAGCTCCATCTATTCCTTGCTGCACACGGCCAACACTTTTCGATTACCTTTCTGCGGATCCAATGCCATCAGCCAATTCTTCTGTGACATGCCCCTGCTCCTGAAACTCGCTTGCGCTGATACGCACGCTAATGAAATTGTGGTTATTCTCTGCAGTGCTTTTGGGGGGCTAATTTTCTTCATTTCAATACTGGTGTCCTACATTCACATCTTTTTGGCTGTGCTGAGGATCCCCACTTCCCAGGGCAGGTATAAGGCCTTCTTCACCTGCCTGCCCCACCTAGTTGTGTTTTGGTTGTTTATCAGCACCGGCATCTATACGTACCTACAGACCAGATCAGCGACTACCCAATCTGAGGGAATGCTGGCCGCTGTGTTGTATACCATCGTCTCTCCAGTACTTAATCCTCTCATTTACAGCCTGCGGAACAAGGAGATAAAAGATGCTCTGGGCAGGATTTTAATCAAGATGATTTTCACCAAGAGCACTTTTACGTAAGGGGCAAATAGTTTAATATTCCCTCCCCCATTCTCTAGTGAAGAAATGCTCATTAATGCATGACAGGACAGCTGTAACGTCCTATGGTCATGGTTGACGTATGAAAAGTCATGCACTATTCTGGGAGGTCCAGTCAGTTATAAGTTTCGAAGCAGCCATGTCTTTGGATAACCCTGTTTGGAAGATACTTATTTAAATGTCTTTGGATTCTAGGCTAATGAAGATAATCTTGTGTTTTCTTTGCACGTGTCCCAGTTAGGGAAGAGGTAGGTTGTGAACAATGGGAAAACGGGTGAGTTTCAAAGGCCTCTAGTGAATAATGAGCCCAACAAGAATGGACGTTGGGGCCAACATAAGAACACGAGACCAGCCCTACTGGGTCAGACCAAAGGTCCATCTAGCCCAGTGTCCTGTCTCCCAAGAGCGGCCAGTGCCAGGTGCCCCAGAAGGAATGAACAGAATCATCCAGTAATCCACCCCTGTCATCCATTCCTAGCCCAAGACAAATAGAGGCTAGAGACACCATCCCCACCCATCTGGACTAATAAGTACGGATGAACCTATCCGCCATGAATTTATCTAGCTCTTTTTTGAACCCTGTTAAAGTCCTGGTCTTTGCAACATCCTGTGGCGAGGAGTTCCACTGGTTGACTGGGGGGCTGCATGAAGAAAAACTTCCTTTTGTTTGTTTTAAACCTGCTGCCTATTCATTTCATTGGGTGACCTCTACTTCTTATGTTATGGGAACAAGTAAATTAGTTTTCCTTATTCACTTTCTCCACGCCTGTCATGATTTTATAAACCTCTATCACATTCCCCCCGTAGTCGAAGCCTCTCTTCTAAGCTGAAAAAGCCCAGTCTTTTTAATCTCTCTTGATATGGCACCCATTCCAAACCCCTAATCATTGCTGAACCTTTTCCAATGCCAAAAGTTCTTTTTTTGAAATGAGACGACCACATCTGTACGCAGTAATCAAGAATTGGGCGTCTCAGATTTATACAGAGGCAAGACGATATTCTCTGTCTTATTCTCTATCCCCTTTTTAATGATTCCTAATGCTCTGTTTGCTTTATGGATTGTTGCAGCAAATTGAGTGGACATTTTCACAGAACTATCCACACAATTTGCACTCTTGCGTGGTTAGAGCTAAATTAGTCCCCATCATTTTGTACTTATAATTGGGATTATTTTTTCCAATGTACGCTACTTTGCATTTATTGGAATCTGTAGGGTTCAACATATTCATACATGACTAGGAAAAGCGGTAAACACTGAGGTAGTAAAGTTTGTAGATGATTCAGAATTACTCGAGTTAAGTTCAAAATATGGAAGACTCACAAAGGGATCTCACAAAATTGGGTGACTAGGCAAGAAGCTACTCCAGAAAAGGCAAAATAATGCACATTGGAAGTTGCGATCTCAACTGACCATGTACAAAGTGTTTTAAAATAACTTCAACAGCCAGAGGGGAAAGGTGGCTGTGGGGACAAGGATTGCTCACTGCTAATTACCAGTGGAAATCAAGCCCATGTTTGAAGGGATCTACCAATTGCCCAGAGGAAATCTACGTGCAGCTCAGTAGCTTTTGTGAAGAGATTTGCTTTGGTCTTACGGGCATTTTCCTGATCACAAGATCTGCCATGGCACATGGGAACCTTTGAAGGTGTGGTTCTGTTCTCCTCTCACCCAGTGGAGGTTAGAAGTCCATGTAGCACCAGCTCTGGAGAGGAGTGATAGCTGAGACACCAAGGTACGTCTAGACTACAGGATTTTGTCGACAGAAGTTTTGTCGACAGATACTGTCGACAAAGCTTCTGTTGACAAAGAGCGTCTAGACTACATCCAGTCCTGTCAACAAAGCAAGCTGCTTTGTCGACATAACAGTGTGGACGCAAAGGACAGTGTAGATGCAATAATGCCGTCTATTGACAGAATTCAATCGATAAAAGGCGTTATTCCTCGTAGAATGAGGTTTACGTACGTCGACAAAACTGCTGAGTTTTGTCGACATTATGTCGACATAACTCAAAGGCAGTGTGGACGCAGGTATAGTTTTGTCGACAAAAGTCCACTTTTGTCGACAAAACCCTGTAGTCTAGACACACCCTGAATTATTTGTTCCCACTCAAGAGAGAGATCTTGGCGTCACTGCAGATAGTTTTCGGACAGCCTCCACTCAACTTCCCATGGTAGTCAAAAAAGCAAACAAAATGTGGAGAACCATTAAGGAAGAAATAGATACAATGACAGAATCATATTGCCTCTGTATATATCCATGGTGTGATACAAGGACCCATATTCTTCACAGAGATATTACAATAAGACCATGGTGTAATTCTTACGTATTTTATCAAGAAAGGTCAGGTGAGATATCGTTGGAGAGGTTGCGGTTGACTGAATTGGATCCTCCTATTTGTATGCATGAATCATTTTTCTATCGGAAGTCAGGCATGTTGACTGTATATGTGCATTACAAATGTGTTTACCCCAAGGGAATGCCCTCTAGGCAAAAGACTCAACAGAGGTCCTCACCCAAAAAAAATTGGTGGCCTCAGGAAACTCACAGGCTACGTCTAGACTGCACGCCTTTTTCGACGGAGGCTTTGTCGACAGGCTCTGTCGACAAAGCCGCTTTCGAAAAAGAGCATCTAGATTACATTATGCGGCTCGAAAAAATCAATCTGCTTTGTCAAAAAAGAGCGTCCAGACTGCCGGACGCTCTGTCGACAAAAGAAAGCACCTGGAAGTGCTTCTGGCAGGACATGGGGGCAACCTTTATTTCCAGGTGCTGCTGCATGCCCTTTGCAGAGATGCGTGCTTATAGGGATCCTCCTGGACAGCCCTGCTCCTGCTTCTGGCTTGCCTACCTCCTAGAGGGAAAGACCAAAGCTGCCACAGTGCTTGCTCTAGTTGCCCTGCTTCCTCGGACACCACAGCAGTTTATTTTTCGGGTTTTTTTTTTCCTGCTTTTCATCTTTTATTTGACTATGGAGCCTGAACTGCCCCGGGGCAGGCGATGGCCCCACGCTGCCATACTGCAGCTTCTGCTGCATCTGCATGACTCTGTCATGAATCTCCTGCCCCATATGGACCTGGACCAAACCGAGGAGACCCTCCTCCGGGATGCAGGAGCTCTTCCCTTGCCCCCAAACTTTTTGGGGGACAGGCAGGATGGGAGACATGAGACGAATTTGGACTGGTGGGACCGGATAATCATGCAGCTCTAGGACCCATACTGCAGCTTCTGCTGCATCTGCATGACTCTGTCATGAATCTCCTGCCCCATATGGACCTGGACCAAACCGAGGAGACCCTCCTCCGGGATGCAGGAGCTCTTCCCTTGCCCCCAAACTTTTTGGGGGACAGGCAGGATGGGAGACATGAGACGAATTTGGACTGGTGGGACCGGATAATCATGCAGCTCTAGGACGACGACCAGTGGAAGGGCACGTTCCTGGAGCTGTGTGGC